TTGGCAAGGTGTCCAGAGGGAGCCTGAGAATCCCTTTGACTTGATATTTAGACAGTTAAAGATAAAGGAGACAAATCCTGCCTGCCATTCCTACAGGAAGTGGGAGATGACATGCTTGTCTGGACCTTTTGATTTTAGTTCTCCTTCTGCTCTTCTAAGATATTTGCAGCTTTCTCACACATATATCGTGTGGTTGAGGATCCACTGCAAGATGCACTTTCTACCTTTCTGTCACGTCCAACAACAGCACAGCAATAGTCAGAATATTTTCCTTCAACCTTAAAGCTGAAAAGGGAGAGAAAGCCAGATTTAGCTGCATTCGTGGCTTATCTGGATGCAATGCAGTCCCTGTCACTTCCATGAAAGACATTGGCGTCTGCCCTTGCTGCTAACTTGTATTATTCTCAGTGGGATTAGAAGCTGCCTTGTTGGACTCTCACTGCCATTCCTTAATTTTCTTCCCCAAACTGCAACAAAAGTCTATGGGCTATTCTTTCCATCCAGAGAGCTTTCCCTTCTTTGGTGGCCTCCAAGCCATGGTGCTGACATCACACTCTCCCCCGTCCCTGCCTCCTATGTCCTCTCTTTCCCCACTGAACTCCATCTGCTCAGATTCCTCCTTCCCCACCAGAACCACAGCTCTGTCCTCTCTTGCCATCCTGATGTGACACGCCTGTGGTCCCACGGGACGTACAGGCTCCCTTTGGCTTCTCACAGGGATGTGCTGAAGCACCTGAGTCTCAAGGAATCAGGTTGCTACAAATAGCAGGTCCTGATCTCACTTGTACTCCCTCCTGTTGGCTCTTGGTATATTTTTTTTCACTGTTTCCCAATGTCACATCACAGTGACTTGCTGGAATAAGCTTACATGTCTGTGTTGAGTTCCATGTTGTTAATCCACTTCCACTTCTCCTCACTGCCAGAGCATATGAGACCAAGAAAGTAGTAATGGCCTTTTGATTGTGAAAAAAGATAATTCTAGAAAGTAACCAAACAATGATCATACAGTGAAATTACATTTTCTTCACCAGAGGTACACAGAAAGCTTAGTGCAAAACCCCCTGATTTCTGGATTTTTCCTGTGGAAACATCTGTGGAAAGGTATTTGCCAACATAGAGACAGAGCCCCAAAGACATCTAAGGTGAGAAGATGCAAGTGTAACCCATCATCCCTCTGCCATACAGGTCAAGCAGCCCTAGAAGCAGCCCCGTGAATTTTGACCTCACCAGTTCATCCAGGTTTTCAATGATCACCAGGTCTGAATTCATCTC